GGGCACCTACATCAAACACTTTTTCATGACATACCTCGATTTTTAAAAAAGTATTTCAGAAAATAATAATGATCATAATGATAATCTGAATAAATATGCAAGATTTCTTAGCTAATAAAAGTGGCTAAATGCCCTTCTTTAAAATACGAAAGTCTATTCTTGCTTTGGAAAATTTCATGACTGATCTGACATTTCATCTCTGCCTATCTACCTACCTACCTACTTGTCTACACAGGTACAGTCTGAGAGTATCAAAGGAAATCTCATAGTCGTTTCAAGCTCACCCAAGGCTAATTGAGGCCAGTATGTAATTCTTTTCATTAGTGGGTAGGTGACGACAAGAAGTAAGGATGCTGCTCCCAGAGCTATACTGAAAACAGGAAAAACCATTAAAAAGATTAATGTCACTATCTCTTAGAAATTACTAAACACTTTAAGACAACATTAGAAATACTAATTGGAAAATATTTTTTATCTTTAATTACATATTTGTTATGTAAATTCTCTTGCTACACTTTGACGTTCCCTATTATAAAGGATGATTAGAATATTTTAAATGTTACAAAACAAACAAAAAACATATAACACACACAGTACTTTAATGTATTAGGCACTATTCTAAATGCTTTACATTTGTTAACTCACTATAATCTTCACAACTACCCTAAGAGGCAGGTAGTTTTATTCTCCTTCTTTTTTGCAGATGAGGCAACTGAAGCACAACGAGATTAAGTAATCTGCCAGCTGTGACATCGCTAGTCAGTAGGACAGCCCGGATTCAGACCTAAGGCAGTCTGATTCCAGAGTCCAACCTATTAACCACGTACGCTATTGCCTCTCCGAACTCCGTCTGCAAACATTAAGTAAACTCAGACATCCTGAGAATTAGAGTCAAGATATCCCTCTTCATATGTATGACAAGGTGTTACTTCTCCAGAAAAGGAAAGCACCTACGAAAATGTGATAAAATAAGAAGTTCTTAGGTATCTCAAAGTTCATCTAATACTACCCCTCCAGGAATAACCTTCCAAAGGTGTTTTCATGTTATTGATGCTATAAGGACAAGGCAACGATTAGGTCTAGTCTCTGTAAAGTAATACGTATCTGCTGACACCCCCCTTCTCTTTGTCTTTTTTTTTTTTTCTAATTGAAGTACTTTGTAAGCAGCCACCTGATGAACAAGTTTAGTATCGTCTCTATTGAAAAGATACAGGAATGACTGGGAGGCCGAGGCGGGAGGATCGCGTGAGCTCAGGAGTTTGAGACCAGCCTGAGCAAGAGCGAGACCCCGTCTCTACTAAAAATAATAAAAATTAGCCGGGCATGGTGGCAAACTAGTGGAAACTAGTATATTTACTTCAGTAGCTCCAGCTACTTGGGAGGCTGAGGCAGGAGGATCGCTTCAGCCCAGGAGTGTGAGGTTGCTGTGAGCTAGGCTGACGCCACAGCACTCGAGCCGGGGCAACAGAATTAGACTCTGTCTCAAAAAAGAAAAAAAAAAGATATAGGAATGAGTCTTCCTATTTTTTTCTTCTGTCATTGATTAGTAACATGACTCTGGGAAAGACATAGTTCCTTTTCGCAAAATGAGTACAATCACTTCTGCTTCCATTTACTTCAGAGACACTATCAGCATAAACAAAATTATACGTGTACACGTGGGTATATAACACACACATCCATGTACACACTTAGAAACCCATGAAAGTGTCTTGTGTCCCTTAGGGAACAGGCAGTGAAAATACTGAAGGTGCCTCAGAATAAATTAAATGCTGATATCTCAACTCCTTTGGCTGAAAGCATTTTTGAAGTAGATTTTACAATATGTGGTTAAGTTATTTATACTTGCTAACTTATAGGTGCTTGATTGGCAGGCAATAAACTTTGTGGTAAAGATATTTCAATTTTAGTTTATTCCTATCTTTTCCAGAAAATTTCAAAAGAGAGATTTTATACACGATTATGGAAAACACATTTAATATACCTGTAGTAATTGAGACACAGAAGAACACCTAGTGCCAAGGTCAGCTGTCCCCCAAGAAAAACAAAGGACTGAAACGTTGAAATGTTTCCAGCAGCTACTGGGCGATTTGCTGTTCTTGTAACCTGAACACATAAAAATAGATACCTTAGCCTCATGTAATTGCTCATTTATTTAAACATTTAATCAAGAGACTGGCCCATGGGAGGCACTAAGGCACAAAGATGAATAAAGAGTGAAATCAACATTTGAAGTACTGCCAGGAATCAAAACTTCACATTTAAAATAGCTTTGAAAAGAACTAAAAATTCCCATCGCTCATTCCCCTTTCTCCCAACCCCATCTTCAAACAAGCGAAACAAAGCGACTTCCTTCTCTAGCTATTTAGCTGCTCAGCTTAGCAAGTGTGATGCTCAATTTCCATGGAGAAAGCCTCAAATATTTACTACCTGGTCTCCTACAGGAAAAGTTTGCTGACCGGATTTCTATCATGCTTCACTGAATAATAAAGCAGCCTGTCAGCAGCTGTGAGTAAAGACTGTGAACTGTGAGTAAAGCGATTTATTTTTAAATGATGAACCACTCTAAGCATGTTCAAAAATGATTTTGAAGTGATATATGCCAACAGAAGCCTCCTTCAAACCGTATGCAGAATTAAAAACGGACCAGGACGTGTGAACCTCCAGATCAGGAAAGCGCACATCTCCTGGCATGAACAACCCCAACCGCACCGGGCGGCACAGGAGGCCTCACCTTCTGGTTCCCGCCACCCCTCCATACACCCCACCCTCCGGCCACACGCAGATCACGTACTTGCAGAGATCAAACACGTGCTTGTCTCAGTCAAGACTCTGTACCTGCTGCCTGCTGCTCCCTCCGCCTAGGGTAACCTTCTCCCTCCAGCCCACTCTTTCCTGCCATCCTATTCAGACAGAGTTCAAAGGTCACCCCTGCCTGAAAAGTTTTGACTCTCTCCCTTGGGTTGAGGTAGGTGGTCTTCAGAAGTTCCTGGTGGACACCATTCTCATGAGACTGCCACTGTGTTCCTGACTGAGGTCAGGACTGTTATCCTTCACCTATGCAATCCTAGAACCTGTTACTGGGTCTCACACACAGCAAGTACTCAATAAATATTTTCCGAAATAAAAAACATTAATATTTTAAAATTAGTAAACATGAACACTGTTCTAAAAAATTACTGAAGGGGTGCCTTGCTTAAGGAAAATTCAGACTATATGAAAGGCAAACTGGGCTGATCAATCCCTTTATATAAGTTTATACAAGACTATTTGCTTTATATAATTCAGAATGGGTTTCTTTTAAATTCAAAGTTCCCTTGATCACTTACTCAAGCATTTAATGATCGTGTACTAATTGTGGTACAGCTGCTAGAATAAAAGGCAAATAAAATGGCCCCTTCCCTTGAGAAAATAATGGTCTGCTGAGGAACAAAGAAATAATTACATACATGCATTAGAATATGCACAGAAAATAACCCAGAGAAATATAATGAATCAAACTATTAATTGAAGTTTTCTCTGGGATCTTGGGGAAGGAGGTAAGGACGACTTGTACTTTCTTTCCTTTGTATTTCTGTACTGAATTTTTTAGAATAAACATGTATTATTTTTCTAAGGAAAAAAAAAAGAATAAAGTTATGTTTTTTAAAGAAATAATTATAGTAGGCCAGGCATGGTGGCTCACGGCTATAATCCTAGCACTCTGGTAGGCTGTGGTGGGAGGATCACTTGAGGCCAGGAGACCAGCCTGAGTAATAGCAAGACCCCATCTCTACAAAAAAATAGGAAAATTAGCCAGGCGTGGTGGCACCAGACTATAGTCCCAGCTACTCAGGAGGCTGAGGCAGGAGGATCACTTGAGCTGAGGAGTGTGAGGTTGCAGCGAGCTATGATGAGGCCACTGCAGTCCAGCCCAGGCGGCAGAGTAAGACTCTGTCTCAAAAAAAAATAATAATAATTATAGCAAATGCTAATAAGGCTGCCTTGGTTCATTTAAATTAAGATGTGATTTACATGAGAGGAGTTGGGGCTCTAAAATACATCTCAAAGAAAGGGACGACAGATCTTTTTGGACACTCAAAGGTTCAAGATGGATTTTTCGCTTTCACTCCTAACCTTTAACTCTTTTACCCTCGGTTTTCCAAATTCTTAATTCACTTTGTAGAAATGAAATACACACCTTGCCCCTGTGGCCACTCTCGTGCTGAGGAAGGAAATACTGTACCACGCACTTTGCAATGCCAGCTGTTCTACTGACACTGGGACTTCTCATGCTGGGCACTAAATGACCTTGCTGCTTTACGTGGCATTCAAAAGTGATGCCACCATGTTATTCTCCAGAATTGAGAGGAGCTCCTCTATTCCTTTTCAGGACAAAACTACCTTTTTATCGTATTCCTGGTCCCACATGTCGTTAATGGTGCAGCCTGCTCCACGCATCAGAACAGCTCCAGCGCCAAAGAGGGACAGCATGTACCAATCTGGAAAACAGCCTGGTTCAGCGGCCAAACCAATGCTCCAGGTACATGGCAGATACAGTAGCCAGGTTCCTAAGGAAAGAGAAAAAAGACAAAAAAAGGTATAAATTCAAATCAGTGAACTGTCTTCATTCGTTTAAACACCGTATCTCAAAGAAGAACAGTGTAAGCAAAGTCAAAAAACACGTAACAAAACTGGGAAAATAAACTTACAACTCATATCACAAAAGACTATTCTCCCTAATATGTAAAAATCCCCTAAAAATGGAGAAGAGATCAAGAGTCCAATTAAAAAACAGACCAAACACATAGTAAGAGTTAACAGGAAAAAAAATACAAATGGCTCTTATGCATATGAAGAGATACTCAACTTTGAGAAACACACATTAAAACCACCTTAACATAACATTTTTCACCTTTCAGGCTGACAAAAACCAAAGTCTGACAACACATCCTACCTAGGGAGTGGAATATCCTCATGTATTTCTGATGAGGTTACAAAATGGTCCCACTACTATGGAGGACAAGAAAAAGAATTTGAAAATGTTTACAGTAAACACACACACATATGTATGTATATATATGTAGACACATATCTACATATAAAACAAATACATATGTGAATGTTAAATGCTCACGCAGCATGTCAGGAAGGACATGTTAGAAACTATTAACAATAGTTGCTTCTGAGGAGGGGAACTGCATGGATGGAAGAGACTCACTTTTTACTCTATACCTTGGCACCTTCTGAATTTTAGTTTATTTATTCATTCATTCATTTACTTAGACAGAGTCTAAAGCTAAAACCTTGAGAAATGGCCAGTCCAGACCTGAGTCAGGTTGTCCTGGACACACTCGTATTTAGTGGGCCCTACACTAACAGCTAACATTTACCCAAAGTCGAAATGTCAGGCAGTATTCTAAATGCTTTAGGTGTATACTTTTGCCCCTATTGATTCCAGCGACATTTTTTTTCTGTCTTCCCTATGACACTTCATTCCTTATGCTCTTTGCTGTGAAGAAAGATACAGAGGTGGCGAGGAGAAAAGTAGGTTAAACAAAGAAATTGTAGAAAAAGAAAGAATTCTCTGGGAGATGAAATAAAATGACCAAGTTCTGAGGTGTGATCGGCAAATCAAAGAGCCTGTGTAGGTTGAGTCTAAGATGCATTCACTAATTACAGATTCTCTTTAAGACAACATAATCACCCGTAAATGCAATAAAACAAAAAATTACACTGCCAATTGAGTGGAAAGAGTGCCACCTACTGAAACTTCCTGAAATAATGTAGGCTGACCCATTTGAAAGTTGCATTGCCCTCTCAAAAACAATGAAACCTATTACTGGTTTAGGGAAGTAACAAGATGTAACTTCAAAAAAGTAGAACAATGAACATACAATTAATCCATCAAAAAAAAAAAGAACTTAAGAAATATCAAACTTGGAATTCTACTACTATTACTATTCCTGGCATATGGTAGGGGCTCAAAAATGTTTGTTGAGGCCGGGTGCAGTGGCTCACTGCTGTAATCCTAGCTCTCTGGGAGGCCGAGGTGGGAGGATCCCTTGAGGTTAGGAGTTTGAGACCAGCCTCAGCAAGAGCGAGACCCCATCTCTACTAAATATCGAAAAAATTAGCCGGGCATGGTGGCACATGCCTGTAGTCCCAGCTACTCGGCAGGCTGAGGCAGGAGGATCGCTTGAGCCCAGGAATTTGAGGTTACTGTGAGCTCCGCTGACACCACTGCACTCTAACCCGGACAACAGAGCGAGACTTGTCTCCAAAAAAAAAAAAAGAAGTTTGTTGAATGCATTCTAATACAGTACTATTAATAGGTTTTCTGCAAAATCCTGCAATATCACCTTATTTAGAACCAAAGCATGCAGGCTGGTATCTTCTTAACATACATAATTACTATAAATACAATTTTCTCCCATCCCCACTCTGAAGCAATAGTACTTCTTCAGCACTTATTCTATGCCAGGCACTGTTTTAAAGACTTACACGTGTGAATGAATTTTCCTGACAACCTTATAAAGTCAATATTATCAGTATCATCATTTTATGAATGAGAAATAAATGCCTGGAGAGGTAAGGTCATTTAACCAAGGTTCCTCAAATGGGCAGAGCGGAGATTCAAATCTAAGAGGTCTGCCTCCAGAGCTTTGCTCATAACCCCTTTGTAGCCTCCTGTGACCTGGTGGGAGGCCCAGCCACGAAGACGGAAGCCGGAGGTTTAACTCTGGAAACGAGAACAGTGGCAGACGTTCATCTGTAAGCCTACACTACAGTTCCATCACGCAGACTCCAAGAACAGAATTACAGTCAGGCTTCGGATGGTAACCGGGCTTGGGAATTTACGCCTGTCAATCTGAATCTGGCCTCAAAATGCAAGGGGTCATACACAGCCTCCCAACGATGGCAGAGCTGTATCTATCATTTAACATGCTTTTATGCTTTGTCAATTGTTATGACTTAGTGCTCTGATCCCAAAGAGGTAGCGCATACACCTAGAATACGAAAAGCAAGGCTGAATCTGGGGCCTGCACGGGCAAAGGAGGAGTGAACGTATCTAAGCATTTGAATGTATTTTTCCACACGCTCCAATGGCAAATGTCATCAACTAGATGAGCTGGAGCTCAGCCTCCTCCACTCCCTCCTCATTATCCACCTTCTTCAGTTCCTTTCTTATCCAGCCTCACCTCCCATTTTCTACACCCACTTGGTGTTTCGGGTCAAGCTCATATTCTCAGTGTTCTAACACTCCACCCTTGGGTCTTTGCAAAATATCTCTCCTATTAACATCTCTTCCCTCCTCTGTAAAATCAACCTGCCCTTTGGAGTATAATTTCTTCTTGAAACTTTTTCCAGCAACAGAGATCCACAGTAATTTCTTTTTCCTGCAGCACTTACCATCTGTCCCACTCATACTTGATCCCATACTTTCCCAGCTCACCAAATTGTCTGTTTTTTTCAACTAGATTGAGGTTCCTTGAAAGCAGGGAGTTTCTACAGCTCTTTCTATCTTTAAAGCTAGGCAACGTGGTAGGAATTTATTAATTCATTCAATACTACTGGAGAAGTCAATCGACCAATAAGTGCATAAGATTAGTTAGTGGTGAGTCCTACGAAGAAAAACAGAGGATAAAGGGGTAGTGAGGATGGCAGATATTAATTAAAATAGGAAGGTCAGGGAAATCCTCCCTTAGAGGGCGATCGTGAGCTCACAGGCCGGCCATAAGCACTGCACCAGCTGGGTTCAAATGAATTGCATCTTTAAGGGTGACACAGGAAAGAGCTTGGACTCAGCATCAAAACACTGGGTTCCTCCGGGCTGGCTCTGACGAGGGACCTTAGTTTCCCCAGCGTCCTAATTCTCTTAATTATGTGCCTTGCAGGACTGCGAGGAAAATCGAACACTACAATGAATGCTCGAGTACTTCCATACTGTGAACCTGCGAAAACACAGGGCCGCGAGAATGCAATGTTCCGCTAGATTCACCATTTAAATAACTATTTATGGCGTGACTACTTTGCCCACCGAGGGGGCTCAGGAGACACACGGGCGTGAAAACCGGCGGGTCCCTGCGGAGATCGTCCCGACCCGGTGTCCCGAGATGACCCGTAGCGCCGGCAGCCAAGCCCCAGCTTTCAGGCTCTCGATTCCGTCGCCCCGGGGCCGGCCGCGGCGGACAGCTGGGCAGGGCGACCCGGAGGCCCGGGGCCCGCAGACCCCGGCTGCCCGCCCGCCCGCCCGCACTCACCGATGGGCTTGTCCAGCCGCATGAGGCGCAGATAGGGCTGCAGAGGGCGGGGCGCCGAGTTCACCACCGCCGCCGCCGACAGGCCGAGCGGGCGCCCGCGCGGCTCCGGCCAGCCCCGGGGCTGCCGGTCCCCACGGCGGGGCGCACCGGCCCCGCGCGCCAGGGCAGGGGGGCGGCCCAGCGGGCCCCACAGCCACGCCTGCCCCGCAGCCCGCAGGCGCCCCGCACACAGCGCGCCCCGCGAGCCCAGCATGGCGCTGGGGAGGGCGGGGACGCGCTGCGGCTGACGTCATTCTCTGGCGCCTGGTCACCGGCGGGCATGCGCAGTGGCATAGACAGAACGCCTGTCCGTGCCTGCCGGGAAGGGCTTTGTTGTAGCCCGGACCTTTCCACGCGTGTAGTTGTGAAGTAGGGGTTGTCCTAGTCGCTCACCCTGTAAGCGGGCATATTTAATGTAAAAGGAATTCCTGCTGTCAAAATACAAAATGACAATGAATTTGAAGATCTCAGATGGCTTTCTGTCTCTGGCATTGGGCAACGCTTCATTCTATAAAATAGAATAAATGTTCCAATGAGTCCAGCAAAGGCGGTTGGTTTTATAGACAGGAAAAGGGCTGAAGAAAGCAGAAACAAAGAACAAAAAGTGGATTAGTCGCTTCAGAGTTGCTTTCCTTGTAAGGCGGGGACGGGGAAACAGAGCAATAGAGAAAAGAGTGGCTAACCACACGTTACTTCAGGTTAAGGATTAAAACAAGGAATTTCATTGGCAAGCCCACTGAAGATTGAAACTGGCCTGTTTGGGAAATGGGCTGTTAGCTCTGTGTCCTGATTTTTCCCACTTAGTTTGGTTAAGTGGACCTGTAGCACGGGTGACTTTATTTTGATTTCTAGTCTGGTCAGTTGGGCTTAGTGCAGAAACTTAGTCCAAAATAATGGCCTCCTGTGATTTTTATTTAATGTTCCTCTGGATTGAGCAGGAACTCCTTTTGTTTCGTTTTAAATTTATTACCCATAGGACCTGAAGTGGTTCATTTTATGTGTGAATTTGGCTAGGCCATGGTGCCCAGATGTTTGGTCAGACATTGTTCTGGATGTTTCTGTGAGGGTGTTTTATGATGAGATTAACATTTAAGTTGGTGGACTTTGAGTGAAGCAGATTGCCCTTTATAAAGTGGGTGGGCCTCATCCGATGAGTTGAAGGCCTGAATAGAACAAAAGACTGACAACCCCCACCCCCCAAGAAGGAATTCTGCCAGCAAATGGCAAATGGCCTTCAGACTTGAACTGCAGTGCAAGCTCTTTCCTGAATCTCCAGTCTGCCAGCCAGCTCACCCTGCAGATTTTGGATTCACCAGCCTCAATAATTGCTTGAGCCAATTCCTTAAAATAAATCTCTCTCTCTATATATGTAATATTAATACACACACACACACACGCACACCCTATTGGTATTGTTTTTCTGAAGAACCCTGACTAATGCAGGAACATAGCACCTAGTAGCTGGTGAATAAATTCATTCATTTAAATGGTGGATCAACCAGAACATTCCACTTTATATGGACCCTTCATTTTAATATACTTACATTTTTGAAGCACTTCTACATTCATTATAATATTTGATCCTTAGAACGATTTTTACTTCTCCACTATGTTTCATCTGATTTTGGGAGTGGGTGCTAGAGAAGGTGTTTTAGGTTTGAAAGAAGCATCAATTGACTCCCGTTGTAAAAGGGACTTTGAAGCTTAACAAGTACAATCATTAACTATAATGGTTTCAGGCCTTAAAGCAATTTGATGTGAAGTTGGTGTTCTTTATAGAAATTGTAATTGACAATAAAGTGACTATAAAATGATAGTTGATAAGAAATATGAGAATAATAAGAGACAAATTCCAGGAGGCATCCCATATGCTTCTCAGCGGTGCTGGTGGAACTGAGCACTCATTGACTACAGGAGCAAACTCGGCAACCAAACTTAATATTGGCTTTTTCTTTTTTTTTTGAGACAGGATCTCACTCTATTGCCCAAGGTACAGTAGCATCATCACAGTTCACTGCAACCTCAAATGCCTGGGCTCCAGCAATCCTCCTGCCTCAGCCTCCCAAGGCGTGTGCCACCACGCCCAGCTAATTTTTGTATTTTTTGTAGAGATGGGGTCTCACGATGTTGCCCAGGCTGGTCTCAAACTCCTGGCCTCAAGCGATCCTCCTGCCTTGGCCTCCCAAAGTGCTAGGATTACATGAGCCACTGCACCCCGCCAATATTGGCTTTTTCTTTTCCTCCGTCTTACCCTGATCTCCCACTCTTGCTTCTTGCAATCACCCCCCAAATAACCCACCTAACTCCAAGTCTTTGTCTCAGACTTTGCATTAGAAGAACCCAACTTGTGACACCTAATAGGCATAAGAAAGCGTTGAACCTAACACACTAGTAGTTCTATATCCTGTTTCTACACTTTCTAATAAAAACTTGATTGTTACCTTAGTTAGTGTAGTGGACCAGAAATGCTAATTCTGTTAACTCTGAGTAGGAGAGTAAATTTGTAACTTTAGGATGAAGAAATGATATTTTTGTGCAAGTTACATTTATATAGGTTTTGCTATCAATGTTTTTAAAATGTTTTAATGCTTAGGGAACTTGGGCTACCGAATTTGTATGTTATTAGATTTATAAAAGTTTTTTAAAAATGTGTTTAGTAAGAACCTGTTAAATTTGCAAGTTTGTCTTATTAACTTTAAGGTGCTGCAGAATCAGATAAACTAAACTTGTTACTGTCCTGTGAAAGGTCTATAGGAATTTGAATAAACATGCAAGTTGTAGTTAACAAAGTAAACTAAAAACCAATTCAAAAACTGACGGGCTATTAACAAATGTGTGAAAATAAGAACAAATTCGACTTAGATAAAAGGTGTCATGAAAACTTACAACATTTAATGACAATAAAAAAGATTTTCAAAAAGTACTATTAAATATTAAATATCTAAATTGCTCCAGGGCTTTTAAATGCATACATCTGTAAGATTGAGAATGGTACAAAATTGGAAAGGACAAGACAGGAGTATCTTCTCCTTGAAAACAAAACCTGAGGAGAGAGGCCGGCGCAGGTTTAGGTTAGGACTTCATGTGCCTATAAGAAATGGGGAGCCATTTACGAACTTTAAGAAAAGTCAGGCTGTACGATGAATTAGGAGATCATTATAATAACACAAGGAAGAATTTAGACCTCAAAGTAGCAGAGCAGACAGGGCAAAGAAAACAGGACACGACTTCAATCGTGATTTAATCTTCGTGCTGAGTTCAGAGACAGTGTTGGTGCCTGATGGTCTCTTGTCCTTAAAGTCGATTGTTTTGGGGTTCGGGAGGCTGAAAGGACAAACAAAGGCAGGAGGTATAAACAAAGTAGCAAGGAAGACAAGGCTTCCAAATGCAGGAATCCACAGCCTTTATTAAAAGAATAATCATGCAATATTAAGGTTATAAAAATTACTTTATTTCAAATGTGAAAATATAAAAACCACTGACATATAAAATGTAAGGGTAATTGAAGCATCCAAAATTTAAGTTCCAACTTTAGCTCCTTCTAAACGTACTTAAATCTAACTGAGACAATATTCATAGTAGGCATAAATATAAAGAATATCAATCCCTAAGAGGATTAAAATGCAGGGGAAAAATAACACGTTCTGTCCCGGATGAAAAGCACAGAACTGTGATGTTCAGTGTTGTAGACTTGCCAGCACCCCCTCCACTCCAAAGGAGGATCACTCAGAGACAGTGACAGGAATCTCACTGTTGTTGGCAGTGACCGGGGAAATGGCCACATGACCCATTCCTGACCAATAAGACTTGAGGAGGCATCGGGAGGGGTTTGCTGAGCGGACTCCTGAGAAAGAGTTCAAGTCTGTGAAGGAGACACAGAAACAACTGCTCATTCTCTTGTCTGGTTGCTACCAGGTCTGGCTGGGTCCGTGGAACAGCTACGGCCATCATGCTACCAGAGTCTGGGAACGAAGCCAGCACTAAAGATCACAGAGCAGAAATGGGAAGAACTTGGATCCTTGGTGACATTCGGAGCTGCAGGAGCCTGCCCTACTTGAACTTCTCTTCATGTGGGATTAAAATTTCCTTATTGCTTACGCTACTTGAATCAGCGTTTTCTGTTACTTGCAGCCCAAAGCTTCCCAACTGAAACAAGAACTAAAGGTAGAGAAAAAGTAAACATTAACAGATGGTTATAATGTCATAGACGTTTTCTAAAATTTTCCCTTTTAGTAAATCAATTTCATTTACAGTCATTTTAAAATTTCATTTGACGTTTACAGAATCTCTCCCCTCGGAATTGTCATTAACCGTTTTTTTATACTATCACATCTAACCACCTGTCCTCTCACATATTATTTCTGACAAAGACAAACAGAACAGAGGGAAGGACAGCAGCAGCTGCATAGAGCCCTCTGTTAAGGTGCAACAGACAGTTTTTCCTCTATCTATTTGCAGTTTCAAGGTTGTAGCAAGAAGCTTTTCCCGATGGGAGCCCATAGAGCTGGCCCATGAAGGAAAGAAAGAATCCAACAATCTTCTAATACCTGTTTTTAAGAATAAAAACAACTAAGCACTTTCTTAAAACTAATACTATATCCTTCACTTTCTTGCCCCTTGGCCATATTGGGAGCATTCCTATACATTTGTAATGACCTTAGATAAAAATAGTACATGCAAAGTGCTAAGAATAGTGTTTGGCACAAGGTATTATTGGCTATTATTATTAGCGGTGTTCTACTTAAAGAGATCACAATCTTGTGCTAACTCTAGCACTGAAATTGTCCCAACGTGTCTGAAGCTCCCACTAGTTGAATTATAATGTATCTGCTTCCTATAATTTGAGTTGCTTTCCTCTTATGAATACATTTGAAAAATTCAACCTCAGCGCTAGTGTATACCTTTCATTTTCAGATGCAAGCAGCCACTTTGGCATTTCTTATCACAAAAAATCCATATGAGAAAGCTGGCAAGCCCAGGGAACTTCCTGGGCGCAGAGGTTTTTCCGTCAAGGTGGGCAGGGTTTGATCATCCACCATCCTCAGAGTCTGACCATTGAGTTGGACAGATCTGCAAAGCGGAAAGACAGGCTGAGTTAGCCAAGTTGTGCATGCTCCATGCCTCCCACAAAAGTCGTGAAATCTTTTTTAGACCAAAAAAAATTTTGTTTGTGATAGCCTATATTAATATAACTTGGGCCGGGCGTGGTGGCTCACGCCTGTAATCCCAGCACTCTGGGAGGCCGAGGCGGGCTGATTGTTTGAGCTCAGGAGTTCGAAACCAGCCTGAGCAAGAGCGAGACCCCGTCTCTACTAAAAATAGAAAGAAATTAATTGGACAACTAAAAATATATAGAAAAAATTAGCCGGGCATGGTGGCGCATGCCTGTAGTCCCAGCTACTCGGGAGGCTGAGGCAGGAGGATCGCTTGAGCCCAGGAGTTTGAGGTTGCTGTGAGCTAGGCTGACGTCACGGCACTCTAGCCCGAGCAAAACAGTGAAACCCTGTCTCAAAAAAAAAAAAAAAAAAACTGTATTTTAACATTGTGTCAGTTAGGTATTTGACCTAGATAATCTGTAAGCTACAATGGTAGAGTAGAGTAGTTGTGATAGAGACCAGATTGCCCCAAATCCTGAAATATTTACTATCTGCCCTTGATAGAAAATGGAACACATATGATCTGTACTAGGCAACATGATGGAGGTGTAAGAAGGATAAATATAACCTCTGGAGTTGTAGTTGTTTTATATGATGACCAATAATTGAAATCATTTTTATATAAAACGACTTGTGTGTATGTGTGTGTGTGTGTGTGTGTGTATATATATATATATATATATATAAGAGAGAGAGAGAGAGAACGGGATGGAATTTTCATGACTTTAACATAAAAACGACAGTCAGTGAAATTTCCCCCATAACTATGCCTATAAACTGTCTAACTGCCCTCCCGGCAGGAGGCATGCATTCTTGTTCTTACTGTTCTTAAGATACTTTGGTAGAATGTATTGCTGTGATGACACAAATACAACTTTGGCTAAACCACAGAAAAATTCAGTTTTCTGTGTATTTCACTGTTGCAATTCAAATTCAAAACTGTCAGAAAAAATGAAAAAAAAATTTAAGGACGAGTGTTATTTCTTATACATGTTTGTTATTATTTAAATCAAGTTCATGCGTGCTCATAGCAACACATTCAATATGGACAGGAGCTTACGAAGGAGAGCTTTAGTCTGCTTTTGGTCTACAGATGGTTACTTCCATAATTCCAAACGATGCTTCCACCTCTACCTCATTCTCAAATGCTTTTTATGTTATGAAAAGAGATAGCACTTTTTAATTGTTGAAAACGTAAGGTTAGTTATTGTCAGAGTTATATTTATGTCATTTATGGAATATATGTAATGTTTGTAGAACACTTAAAACAGTGCCTTGCATACAGTAAGCGCTATAAAAGTATTTTCTATCATCATTATTCAGATAAACATAAGTAACCTGTTAAGTCATTACAACCATTTTAAATATTTTTATGCATATTAATTCCGTGATCTCATTTCTGTGTGTGTGTGTGGAAGCTAACACAACCATTTGGGATGCGAATCCACCATGATGACCTCTGGTGAAGCCCGGTTCTAGGAATGTCCCCAGGATTTCTGCTTTATCTACTCTTACTGTAAATCCTGCCCTTAGGTCAAAGCAACCTGGACCATAAATCCTGCCCTTGGGCAGATTTCCACAGCATTGTTGCCTTTCCCTGAAGGGTCGACTTCAGCAGTCCCACACGTTCCTTCCCTGCGGTGTGTAAGCCGGGGTGGGGTCTGGGGAGGGTGCTGGCACAGAGACACACCATCTTGCCTGGCCTCGCCGCCACCTCTCAAGTTATGGCTGCTGTTCGTAAGTCCCTATAAAATGTTTCTTTCTGAGAAACAGTATTCGTCAGCCTCTTTCTGCAGTCCCTCAGCTTCCTTGGACTTTGGGGGTAGGTTTGTACAGACCTGGTCACCTCGGAACATATGCATACAAAATTGTGCCACGTAACAATGTTTCAGTCGACAACAGACTGCCCAGAAGACAGTGGTCCCATGAGATTATAATGGAGCTGAAAAATTCCTATTGCTTAGCGACTACGTAGCCATTGTCCTAATGTTGTAACATCACAGCACGACGCATTACCTTCTCTATGTTTAAACATGTTTATATACACAAATACCACTGTGTCGTAGTTGCCTGCAGTATGCAGTATAGTAACGTGCTGTACAGGTTTGTAGCCCAGGAGTAGGGGGCCATACCATACAGCTTAGGTACGTAATAGGCTATACCATTGAGATCTGCGTAGGAACACTCTATGATGTTTGCACAAGGACAAAATCGCTTAACAATGCATTTCTCAGAACATATCCACATTGTTAATTCACACGTGATTGTACACGCTTTTACTTAAACAAAAATGAATATACTGTACACATTTTCTTAAAACTTGATCCTTTCTCCCATAGCACTTCCTAACATTTCCTCACACCATGAAACATTCATCCGCTGCATCATTTTAATAGCTGCCCAGAATTCCACGGTGAGACTACATTAGTTTATTCACTTAATCTTCTAATGTTAGATATTTTGTTGTTTCCATGTAACACTACTATATATTTTTCATTAAACAAAATTTTTTTTTGAGATAGAGTCTCACTCTTGTTGCCCGGGCTAGAGTGCAGTGGTGTCATCACAGCTCACAGCAACCTCAAACTCCTGGGCTCCAGCGATCCTCCTGCCTCAGCCTCCCGAGCAGCTGGGACTACAGGTGCGCACCATGATGCCTGGCTAATTTTTTTTTTTCTATTTTTAGTAGAGATGGTGTCTCAAACTCCTGATCTCAAGTGATCCTCCCACCTCAGCCTCCCAGAGTGCTAGGATTGCAGGCGTGAGCCACCGCCTGCATATTTTTCATTTTTCAAGATCTGTCATACTCTGTCCTCATTGAGTATCAGTGAGCAGTCAAACTGGTTTCCAGTCAACCTTGGTTAGACGCTCAGCTCTGGGTTCTGTAACTTAAGACGTATCGATAACAAACCCACGATCGTGCCAGAGGCTAACAGGCCCGTGCTGCGGTTATACTCAAGTTCACATGCATTGGTTTTTGTTCTAACGCCTGTATCGCATCAATTTTTAGATGGGGTGAGGGAGGAAATGCCATGACCATCATCAGGAAACCACAAACTAAAATAGGTCTCGAAAATATCTCCAAAGGACAGGCGTCAGAGTCTGTTTTGCATGAAATTGAGAAGCTTGCAAGAGTATACACAGAAGTTTCTGCTGTGCTTTTGGGGAGGGTATTATTTTCTACAGAGTTTCAAGGTCGATCTGATCACTGTGAATTGATAATGCCGTGGGTAAGATGAAGAGCATGGGCAAGGTGCTAGAACCATCAGGCCGTGCTGTTTCATCAGCCGCACATGCACCTAAAAGATGCTGCCCATATACTGAGCGTAAGCTTCACATATGCTGATTGATTTCACACCAGGCTGGGCAATGAGGTGGGATTTTATTTCACGGTAGCATCTTGTTTTTTTGTTTTGTTTTGAGACAGAGTCTCACTCTGTTGCCCAGGCTAGAGTGCCGTGGCGTCAGCCTAGCTCACAGCAACCTCACACTCCTGGGCTCAAGCGATCCTCCTGC